CTAGTGATTGTTTTTGCTCGTCAACCAAGCAAGCTCCGGAGCCAAAATTTTGCCATTGGGTTCCTCAGTTAAGTACTACCCCAGGAGTACCTTCAAAGTAGATATGGGAGCAACTCGTCGTACTGCTGGAATTTTAGTCCTGGGAAGCTCAGCCACACAAAACTTAAATGTTTGTGCATCAGTTGTTGAGTGAAATGTATAAATATTTGGTTTTGTTTTTGATTTGTAAGAAAAGGCAAATTTCGGAGATCTTTCTCTTCCAGTTGCAAGCTATGCAAATAGACAACACAAGCGCGTACAGAGCATGCCAGTTTGCATTGCAGAAATGCAAAAAAAGGGAAAAAAACGCATAAAAATGGAAAAAATTGGGTCGTTGTGGTAATCAGTGTGAACGTATTCGTCTTTTTTTCATCAGCTGAGCAAGGGTGCTAGCATTTAAAATGAGCTGATGATCTGTTATGATGTTTGGCCGCTCCGAGGAACGGATTTTTGGATGGGCCTTAATTGTGCTTTGGAGAATACTCATTTTTCCTGAGGGAAAAGGTGGAAATTCTAGTAATAAGGAAGAAGTGGGATTTATTTAAATAGGCTGTCAAAAAAAACGTTATATTTTTACATTTTTAAGGTGTAAGCTGACTTTTCATACGATGGAAGCTCGATTGTTGCACGAGAAGGAGCACAGATCCGCACCAGATTTGTAAATTTTTGCTTAATTCGATTGCACTTTGTTCAGTCCTTTTTTGTAAACGGTGAAAAAATGAAAGTATAACTTAGTTCACGTCATACCGTTGCATCATTACCAGCATCGGATTTCAGCGATCAGCAAAAAAAGAGTGTTTTAGAACAGTCGTTTTCGAAATTTGCAGCAGTTATAAAATTGAATTTAAAAAAAAAATTAAAAAAAAGACACTTTTAGACAATGCTGCTACATTTGTGGCACTACTCGATGGTGGTTTCAAGCGCCGGCGGAGGATTTGCCATACATTGATCATTCTTACATCCACGCCTTCCAGCTATTTGCATTATGTCGTGAATGCGGTCTCTGTGTTCCAGACAGGATAAAGGTTACTCATTGTGCTCAGTTTCTTACTTTTTTGCATGAATCAAAAATACGTAGTAGCGATACATAGGAAACTAGGATGGCAGGAGTGAATAGGCTAGGGATTTTGAAAATGATCAGCTTGTGTGTACTTACAAAACTGAAACAAATACAGAGTTAATACGGTGGATATGCCTGGCAACAGTTGAAATTCACAGGCTGGATTATTGGCGTCAAAATGATTGTGCTGTAGCCATTTTTGGGTTTTTTTGCCTAGTCCAGACCGGTTTCCTTTAGAAGTTGCGTGCTTTAGCTTACTGTTAGGTACAGGGGAAAAAATTTTGCTC